CCCGATAAGGAATTCGGGAAAATTCCTTACATGCCTCGTCTTACACCTGCTGATCCACGTTACCAAGTTCGAGCCTTAGAGCGTGTTCCTATCCTCGTATCAAGATGACCTTGTATCAGGCTCACACTGAAAATTCCCCTAAACCCAAAACCTCTCGCTAGTTTTACCAGGCAAAAACAGCATTCTTGATACCAGGTTTCCTGATATGAGGCCGTAGGAACACGCTCTTAGTACATCCGCTATCATTCTTGTCATCTCACCCGAGCCATTAGGTGTGCAAACTGGTACACTGAAACAAACATATAGCAATTTTTGCACAAGCGGCTAATCACTTGCACACAGTTGAACAAGATGACAAGACAAAGAACTGCAGCCAAAACAGCGAAAGCACTAACTCGCTTATTGTGTGCCATCCACTGCAGCGGTGCCATCAGAGGTTGAAGGTGGAGGCACATGATGAGCCTGGCGATTCCACGAGAGGTACGAGGTATCTCCCAATGGCCTGCACACACACGCACACAGAACCAGCATGCGAATTGCAGATGACTACACCAGCCCGGGAGCAGGAGCGAGGGAATAAGAGGCAAAGTGAAGTCTGAAGGAACAGTCCTACAAGCATGTGTTGTAAGTTGTCACAATCCCAAAACTGAGTTCCGTGCCTAGCCTCGCCTCACAAAGGAGGTTGTGCTTGCGACACCTACAAAGTGCCACATGTCTTATGAGGAATGACTGAAATGTGACTGTTTATGAGCTGTCGTTGTGAAGAATCACGTTTGCTGTACCGTTCAGCAAGTCTGTGCACTGGGGATTTTTTCACATGCGATCTATTTGCTGTCGCTATCTTTCGGTCTACCTGAGGCGTGGAATAGAGACTTTGTGCAACTTGCGCATTTGCGCACGATTCACGGCAGCCAATACGGCAGCCAGTTTAGAACACGAAGTTTGTCGCACATTCGCTTTTCATGTTGGTGACGCCTAACATTCTATACCAGAAACAGGCATCACAAACGTTTGCGGCGCCTCATATCGTGACGCTTGCTCGTGGAATGCACCCTTGGAGATGAAAGCCTAGACAAGTATCCAATACATACCTTGGATTTGTGAAGAGGAGGACAAAGAAGAGGAGGCCGAGCAGGAAGCAGAGCCCCCCCACTGTGAGGTAGGCGAGGCCCAGGAATCCGTTGGCGCCGCCCAGCCAGCTGGCGGTGGAGATGACGAGGGCCTTCTGGCCGCCGTACTGGTAGGAGTTGTAGTTGTTCTGCAGCACCACGGCCAGCGTGCTGCCTGCCTCCAGTGGCGTGTTGATACGCCCATACAGCTTGCGGAACGTGGGCAGCGCTGCCGTGCGCATCCACACCATCAGATTCTCCGACTGGTTCAGCTGCACTCCACACACAGGGAGAAAGGGGTCACAGAAACGGGAATGAGGCCATTGGGCTGTGAGGACGTGCACTCGCTCCACATGACCTTGGGAATGAGAAGGGGTACAGGCGAGAGTTGAGGGGGAGTGTAATGCGGGATAAGAGCACGTGTAACCCACACCCATGCGTTCCCGTGCACCATGCCTGTGTGGCTGCTAAGCAAGCTTACAAGCGTGTTAAGCTGCGCCCCGCCGCGCAGGTCATCAACAGTGTTGAAGTTCTCAGGCGGCACGCCAGCGAACTTGCCGCTCTGGTCGCTGGGCCACGCGATGTTGCTGCTGTCAATGGCCAGCTGCTGCCCGCTGCCTACGTCTGTGATGGCGTACGAGTCGTTGAACAGCGACCACGCCACCAGCCCGCACGGCCGGATGGGCGAGGACGTGTTGTCCCACAGGTACGCCTCTGGCTGGCACACGTCAAAATCGCTGCCGCTGATGTTGGTGCCCCGCAGCTGGCTGTCACTGCGGCTCTTCACGTACCTGCTCCGCCCCATGCAACAGCAACACCCAACGACAAGGGGGGGGGGGGAGGGGAGCAGGAGAATAGAGAGGCCCCAAATTAAACTAGTTTAGATAAGCTAGCGTGGAAAAAAATGGCATGCAGCAGAAACAACTGCCCATCATAACTGGGGATAAGCTAGCTTCGAGAAAGCTTCAGTTGATCGAAAATAGATTCACTGTTGCGCTACCAAGGGGCTACTCGTTGAAAAAAGGGATGGCATGGAGTGGTGTGGCATGGCATGTCAAGTCAAGGCATAGCGTGGCATGGGCATGAGGGCAAGGCGTACCGGCGGTGGTTCTGGTAGAAGTTGGTGAGCTGGTAGTACACGAACACTGGCGGCTGCATGCGCTTCGGCACCTGCACGGCGAGGAACACATGTGTGACCGGCGAATCAGGCAGAAAGGGCAACAGTTGGGGGGCAGAGAGATGCAATGACAATGGCTGAGGCCACTAGCGATCAGCTCAAATAGTGGGCGAATTGAGAGAATGAGAGACAAGGGCGTGACTACAGCGCGAGAAGGTGAGGGAGGGAGAGGGGGAGAGGCGACTGACGGTGATCCGGATGTCGCACTTCTTGACGACGGACGCGTTCTGAATGTACGCCACGCCGTCCTTGCCGGCCGGCACACAGCTGTCGTCGTAGCGCTGCACCACCTCCACCACCTGCGGGGTGACAGGCACAGGCGCACGCATGGGATGGGCATACAGAGAGCGCGCAAGTAAGCAAGCAAGCTGGGGCGCATGCAGGCGGCAAGGCGCACACAAGCGCGGATACAACGCGACAAGGACTGCATCCTGCCCGCTGTCAGGCTGTTAGATGCCGCCAGCGACCTACGCTGTCAGATGTCGCCAGCGACCTATGCTGTTAAACGCCACAAGCGACCTACGCTGCTAGATGCCGCCAGCGACCTACGCTGTTAAATGCGGCCAGCGACCTACGCTTTCAAATGCCGCCAGCGACCTACGCTGTCAAATGCCGCCAGCGACCTACGCTGTCAAATGCCGCCCTGTTAGATGCCGCAAGCGACCTACGCTGTTAGACGCCGCAAGCGACTTACGCTGTTAGACGCCACAAGCGACCTACGCTGTTAGACGCCACAAGCGACCTACGCTGTTAGACGCCACAAGCGACCTACGCTGTTAGACGCCATGAGAGCGACGACTCCGATGGGGATGAAGGCGGCGCCGACAAGGAAGAGCGTCGCGATCACCTGCGACACGCATAGACAGGCGAGTGACGAGGGGCGAGAAAGCGGCAGGAGAGGTGAGGTTTGGCCAGCTGGACAAGTGTGAGTGATGTGGGGAGCAGCGAGCGCAGGGAGAAGGAGAAGCGAAAAGAACAAAAGGGCGACTCCAACACCACAGGATCCGCGGCCAAGACGCGGTCATAGACCACCGACGCGCAAAAACAATATCTAAATCGATGACTTGATTGTGATCCTCTTGCAGGTGGAAATCACGACGCGTGCGTGGCACTGACCCATGCTGGCGTCAGCAGCGGTTTGCACGCCGGCAGCTCCTGCTGTGTGAAACGCGAGTCTGGACGCATGAATGGGAACAGGGATCAGCAATTACAATGCACTGTATCAGCAACCGTACGAGAATAGCAACTGTCAAACCACGATGTGCGAAAATCAAACACGGAATGATAAATCAACGAATTCAGAAACATGAGCAGCCGGATGGAGAATGAACTCGCCAAGTGGAGTGGAGCTCACACTTAGGCTTCTTGGACTCCTTCTTAGGGTTCCCAGCTGGCGCTGTCATCGTGGTACGCTGCTATTCTATGACGGGGATCGGTGAAAGTAGTCGCGGTTTCTGATACTAAGAAAAGTCGCGGGTGGTCAAAGAACAATAGCGGCTCTAGGGCGAATCAAACAGGTTGCGATGATGTAACCTTGCCTAGAAACCTTCTGCTGAACGAGCCACACTCACGAGTCTTTATTCCAAGTTTGTGGCTTGTTTGTGCCTCTCTCCGTCATCCCACCGTCTGCCGCAAGCTACATCACGACAGTCAACGGTGAACTCTGTTGGGCCCCAGAATGGTGCGAATGGGAGGGATGGGGGGAAGATTGGGGGAAGATGGGGGGGGGAGGGGGGTGGGGAACAAAGGAAAATGAATTCGGGAATGGTGCCGATGGGAGGGATGGGGGGAAGATGGGGGGGGAGGGGGGCGGGGAATAGGGGAAAATGAATTCGGGGTGAGCAGGGAGTGGCGGAAGCACACATCTTCGCACGGGTGTGAATTGTGTTTGCCTTGATGGGCGGCTATGCGGAAAACTGCTGGGAGTGAGGAAGGTCTGGTCTGGTTTCTTCCGCTGCCTGCGGTGCTGTCGCTTGAGCGTGACGCAGGGTGGCGTCAGACCACAATTATTTGTTCCCCGCCATGTTTATATCAAAGGTATTTGCTTCGTTATTATTATTGTTCCCCACTGCACTTCTCATCCCAAAGCCATCTGGTCAACGAGCAAATAGGTACACAATTTGAAAGCAACGGGATTGCCGCGACTTTCTCGAACTTTCTCCCACCGCCTCAGCTTTCGGATGGAACAGCCAAGCATGCTTCCGTCAGCAGTTCAAAACCGATGACACAGCAAAAGTGGACAGTGCATTGGCAGCATCGCTATGTCGTTCTGCTGACACAGCATCTGTGGCTTTAAACCAAGATTCATGAAATTTGTAGATCGTATTAGAAAACTGATCAGTAGCTGCATCTATTAGCATCGTGATCGCAGTGACGCATTTAGTCTGAAGTCATGTCGTCAATTTACAAGGCATTCGACCGTACCGTTCGAGACATGTACGTTTTCTTGTTTGTGCTACTTCGTGCCATTGTCTCGAAGCGGAACTTTCACGCTTGTTCCGTAGTGTTTTTCCGCTGTCGAACAACCTCCTTGCTTTCCACCGATATGCTTCGATCGTGCTAATCTGTTACCATCCATCTCCGTGGTTTGCCGGTGCAGAAAGCGTGAGGTCAACAAGAATGTGCTCAAGGTGCCTGATGCTGAGCGCAAGGTGAGATGTCTTGTTCTTTTCCAAGTCCCTCATTCGTGCTTGCGCTTTCCGGACTGCGTAGTGATGCGCGTTTCTAATTGTATCGAGTTGCTTCGTCATGCGATTGCACACCTTCAAACATATAGATTTCATTATCCTGGCTGTGCATTAGCCTCTGAAATTCCGAGCTGCCATTAACGGTACGATTTCGCAGTTACACTCTGACACGGTGACTTTCTTTCATGACTTTGGATGCTCGTGGGTGTGCGTGTCAATGTGCGTGTGTGTGCTCGTTTGCGTGCACATGCGTGTGCGTGCGCGTGCGCGTCTGCGACTGTCCGTGTCCGTGTGCATGTGCGTGTGCATGTGCGTGTGCGTGTGCGTGTTTCGGCCTCTCAGGCTCTGGATGCGACGACCAACGAGCCATGGGGCCCTCACGGCCAGCTGCTCGTGGACCTCGCGCGGGCGTCGCACAACCCGTACGACCCGTTCCCCCACAGCGCCGCGGATCTTGCATTCACCTCTTTTTCTTTGGCCAGTTCAGCTTATTCTATGCCGTTTGGAATCCGCCTCATTAGCCACCAGCACGCTGATCGTTTCCGTAGAAGCATTCCATCTGAGTGCAATTCGTTGTGTCACGTCAGTCCCCTTGCATGTTCACTCATCTTACATGGCCGTGCGCGGTGCTGCTGTGCGCGGTGCAGGATCGAGTACTCCATGGTCATGAACGTGCTGTGGAAGCGCTGCCAGGATGTAGGCAAGGACTGGCGCCACGTGTACAAGGTGAGTCCACGTGTATGAGGTGAGTGCGCATGATAGGTGGAGTCGTAGATTTCTGCTTGTGCTCAAAGCATGAAAGTTTGTGTGACCATCTTCCGTCATGGGTTTGGTAGGGGGTCGCGTTAGTTCACTAGCATTCCGCTGGGCAGTAACGTGTATGCTCCGTTCGTCCCTTGTATGTTATGTCCCTGCCCCATCTTGTGCGTGCCGGGCCATGCGGTGCCACGGGGCGGGGCGCGGGGGGCAGGCGCTGGTGGTGATGGAGTACCTGGTGGCGCATGGCACCGAGCGCGTCGTCAGAGACCTCCGCGACCGCTCTGCCTTCATCCAGGTGCCTTCTTTCCCCATGCTCAGATCTGTTATTTCCCTCTCATTCTTTTATTGTTAATCATTGTGAATGCTAACTTTCATTTGAAGAATAGGTGTAGTATGAAATGTTCTTGTGTTGTGACAATCAGCAGACCCCTCCTCTTCTGTGTCTCACCCGTCCCACTGTGGCCTGCGTGGTGGTCGCGTTCAGAGTCTCGCTGATTTCCAGTACATGGACAGCGCGGGCAAGGACCAGGGCCTCAACGTGCGCACCAAGGCGCAGGCGCTACTCGCCCTGCTGCGCGACTCCGCGCGCATTGCTGAGCTCAGGGACCGTGCTGCTGCCACCCGCAACAGGTGTGTGCTGCTGCCACCCGCAACAGGTGTGTGCTGCTGCCACCCGCAACAGGTGTGTGCTGCTGCCACCCGCAACAGGTGTGTGCTGCTGCCACCCGCAACAGGTGTGTGCTGCTGCCACTCGCAACAGGTGTGTGCTGCTGCCACCTGCTAAGATGCTTGACTTGGCATGCTGCATGCTCCACAAAACATGGCTTCACATTCCTCCCCCGCCCTCAACCACTCGCGATTGTTCCACCAGGTTCAAGGGCGCGTCAGCAGCAGGCACGGGGCGGGCGTCGAACCCATATGGTGACTACGAGCCTGAGAGGCAGTCCAGGGACTCGCACCCCACAGCCAGCTACGGCAGCAACAGCTACGCGGGCGACGGGCGGAGTGTGTACAGCACGGGGTCGGCGGAGAGGGTGCACGCCACTGACAGCGCGCACAGTGGCGATGGCGAGAGGCCCAGCGGGTACACAGGCAAGCAGAGATACGGGGATGAGGAGGAGGTGGAGCACAGCAGCACGGGAGGGGGAGCGGCGAGGGCGAGTGGGCACGAGGGAGGGGGTGCGGCGGGCAGCAGGGTGGCGGGCAGCAGTGCTGGCGGGGAAGGTGTGGCAGGGGGGCAAGGGGGAGGCGGTGGGGGGACGCCACAGAGTGCGCCCAGGCCTGCTGCGGTGCCCAGCACTGCAGCAGCCAGCGCCAGTCCGTTTGAAGAGGAAGGCTTTTCGGCAAGGTAGGCCTGTTCCTGCAAAAAAACGCCTTTCTCCTATCCATTCATTCCGTTTAACAGTTCCCTTTTTCAGCGTGAAGCAGCTGATCGTAGCCTGGCACACCACTGCCTGGCTGCCTGTACCATGCTCACTGTGCCAACTCGCCTCCCCCTCCTTTCTCCTCTGAAACCACCCACAGCAGCGCCTACGGCCCAGGCCCAACACAGCCCTACACCTACCCACCCTCCGATGCCCCTCCTCCTGCTGCTGCTGCTGCTGCTGCTACTGCTGCGGCCCCTGCAGCAGCGGCGTCTGGTGGGGGGGGCGGGGGGGGCTTTGACGACGACGACTTTGACCCGCGCTCCGCAGCGCAGCAGCCAGCACAGCAGCAGTGGCAGCCCGCACCTGCTGCTGCAGTTGGAGGTACACACTCGACTCGCTTGCCCCGTTGGACTCACTTCCCTCATCCCCAATGCATTCTGCATTGCATCCCATCCATCCCCAGTTGCTTTGCTGTTCACTCTGCTTCCTTTTTCTTCCTCTGCCTGCCACCCTACTCTTCCTTTTTCTTCCTCTGCCTGCCACCCTACTCGTCCTTTTTCTTCCTCTGCCTGCCACCCTACTCTTCCTTTTTCTTCCTCTGCCTGCCACCCTACTCTTCCTTTTTCTTCCTCTGCCTGCCACCCTACTCTTCCTTTTACTTCCTCTGCCTGCCACCCTACTCGTCCTTTTTCTTCCTCTGCCTGCCACCCTACTCTTCCTTTTTCTTCCTCTGCCTGCCACCCTACTCTACCTTTTTCTTCCTCTGCCTGCCACCCTACTCTTCCTTTTTCTTCCTCTGCCTGCCACCCTACTCTTCCTTTTTCTTCCTCTGCCTGCCACCCTACTCTTCCTTTTTCTTCCTCTGCCTGCCACCCTACTCTTCCTTTTTCTTCCTCTGCCTGCCACCCTACTCTTCCTTTTTCTTCCTCTGCCTGCCACCCTACTCTTCCTTTTTCTTCCTCTGCCTGCCACCCTACTCTTCCTTTTTCTTCCTCTGCCTGCCACCCTACTCTTCCTTTTTCTTCCTCTGCCTGCCACGCTACTCTTCCGCATCGCTCCGCCAGCCTCACCAGGTACATCTTTCGTTCCTCCTGATCCCTTCCGCCCCTCATCCTCCCTTGCCCTCAGAGCCACCTGCCTTTGGGGATTCGTCCTTCCCAGCCGCGTTCTCACAGCAGCCGCAACAGGCGCTGCAGCCAGGGCACTACCAGCAGCCACCTCAGCAATATCAGCAGCCACCTCAGCAATATCAGCAGCCACCTCAGCAATATCAGCAGCCACCTCAGCAATATCAGCAGTCACCTCAGCAATATCAGCAGCCACCTCAGCAATATCAGCAGCCACCTCAGCAATATCAGCAGCCACCTCAGCAATATCAGCAGCCACCTCAGCAATATCAGCAGCCACCTCAGCAGCAGTACCAGCAGCCGCCTCAGCAGTACCAGCAGCCACCTCAGCAGTACGACCAGCCACCTCCGCAATATCAGCAGCCACAGCAGCAGCAGCAGCCAGCAGCAGCACCGGCCAGCCCCCCAGCTGCTGCTGCAGCAGCAACGGCCTCTCAAGAGGGCTTCCACGCCTTCCCACCCGATGCCCCCCCGCCCTATTCCTTTTCATCCGAGCAGCCCCCACAGCAGCAGCAGCAACAGCAGCAGGCAGCGGTGGCGGCATCTGGTTACGTAGACCCCGCCCAGCCTGCTGCGCCCGTGCCAGCTGCACCATATGCCTTCTCTGCCTCAGACGCTGCTCCCACCTCCGCCACTGCTCCCCCCCATAACACCGCCCATCACCCCACTCCCCCTGCCTCCGTGCCTGCACCTGCTTCTGCTGCGCCCTCTGGTGCTGCCGGCAGTGATAGCGGTGCAGCAGGAGCGGCAGCAATGTGTGGAGAGGGCAAGGGCGGTGTGAGTGCGGGGGCAGGTGCGGGAGTGAAGAAGTCAAGTGTGTTCTCAGACGTGCTCAGTGCTGGCCTTGTGGACCTCAACATCTCCAAAGGTACACCTTGCATGGCGTCATGGCATCATGGCGTCATGGCATCATGGCGTCATTGCATCATGGTGTGATGGCATCATGGCGTCATGGCATCATGGCGTCATGGCATCGTGGCGTCATGGCATCATGGCGTCATGGCATCATGGCGTCATGGCATCATGGCGTCATGGCATCATGGCGTCATGGAATCATGGCGTCATTGCATCATGGCGTCATTGCATCATGGCGTCATGGCATCATGGCGTCATGGCATCATGGCGTCATTGCATGCGCGTGTACCATGCCCCCCAGATGCGAGTGTGCAGTATGCCCGTGGAGTGACTGTGCACATGCAGCATGCTCATGTACCAGCGTATGACTGCTGCTCAGTGTTGAATGGGGCACGGGTGAAATTGCCATAGTTTTGCTGTGGGAAGTCACAGAAGGTGCTGCTGGGCTGTGCTGCCTGGCTCCCATGCTCTCTGTCGTTGAGGCAACATCTCTCTGTCCTTGCTTTATAATGAACCCCACGTACCCACCATCACCCTTCTCCCATGTGTCCCTACTTCCGTCAGCTTCCGCTCTCCCTTGCTCTGCCATCCCACTCAACCCCCATCTCCCTTCTCCCGTGCGCCACCCCCCGCCAACCCGCCTGCGTGGCGGCATCAGAGCCGGATGACCCGCTGAGCTCGGTGGGCGTGATGCCCAAGTCGAAGCTCAGATCGGCACGCGAGCGCAAGGAGGACGCCACCCGCCAGCAGCAGCAGCACGGGCAGGGGCAGGGCCAGCCGGGGGGTGTGCCCGCTGTCATGGGCCGTGCCATGGGTCCTGGTGCTGGTGCTGGTGCTGGTGCTGCTGGCATGGGTATGGGGGCAGGCATGGGGGGCATGGGAGGCATGGGTGGTGGGATGGTAATGGGAGGAGGAATGGGGGGGATGGGAGGGATGGGGGCTATGGGTGGAATGGGTGGTGGAATGGGTGGGATGGGAGGTGGTGCTGGTGGTTATGGCATGCAGGGTGGTGGGTACGGGGGAATGGGGATGGGCGGTGGAGGTATGGGAGTGATGGGTGGGGGCATGGCAGCAAGTGTGGGTATGGGAATGGGAGGTGGTGGATATCCAAATCCTCAAGGTGGCTATCCGACAGGTGCTGGTAACTACCAGCAACCTGGTTACCAGCAAGGCAATTATGGTGCTGCAAATTATCAAGGCGGAGGTTATGGTTATTGACTACAGTGTCCCCTCACTCGCTTCAGACAGAGGCCCATGGTGCATACGGTATTTAAGGTGATGATTGTGCTCCTCATGAAGTATAGTGGAGTAAGTAAAACAAAATCCGTGTCGTACGCGCTAGCCAGACAGAAGTTATGAAAGAATTGTGTTATGAATTGTAGAAGAGAGTGTGCAGAATAATGAATAATGAAGATGTGACTCAATGAACTGCCTGTACAATGAAGGGCGCGCGATTATGTAGTGGGACAACCTAGCTACACCGGGAACCTCAGGAACGCGAGGTTGGGTGCTGGTTGGGCAAGGGAAGACTGAAGGCGACGCGTGGTTGCGTCGGCAGCAAGCGAAGTGGCCGAACGTGCACTTCCGAAAGTTGGGGTTGTACGCGGTTGAGTAAACCCTTGTAAGGAAAAAAGGGTTTTCCTTACACTACCACCCCCTTCAAGAAAGGTGGTCAATATCCGCAGCTCGTTTGTGGGCGAGGTAATCACCAAGAAGCGGGAATATTTCAAGCGAGGCGGATGGCACCCAGGTGTCGTCCTCACTGGAGCGGTTAGTCCAACAAATTAGAAAATCCACGTGGCGTCCAGAAGCGTCGAGCCGAACACGATGTGTCAATATCTTCAACGGGTCAAGTGTTGGTTCCGGGACAGGTCGGGCTGTCAGGGCGGCGTTCTGGTGCGCATGCACAAACTTGCGAAGGAGGTTGACATGGAAGGCGTCATATATATGCTAGTCGTCAGGTAGCAGTAGCTTCGCGGTGATAGGTGTCACCATCTTGATGATTTTGAAAGGCCCACAAAATCGTGGTCGTAACTTCGACGGGCCGGGCAGGTGCAGGTTTTTCATGTGAAGTAGCACTAGTTGCCTAGCTACCAAGACGAGTTCTCGTCGTAGAAGGTCGGTGTATTTGCGGGAAGTGGTATTCGCCTTGCGGATTGCGTCCATAGCCTTCTCACGAACTTCCTGCAGTTCCGTCACAAATGTCTGTGACCGCGGGACCGGGTTGTCGAGTGTAGTCGTCATAGGAACCGTCAGGTCCATCCCGTAATTTAAGAAGAACGGGGAGTGATTAGTTGTGCTGGACGGGCGGTGTTGAACGCGAACTCCAGCATGGCGAGCGAGTTTTCCCAGCGAGCGGGGTCGGGGCAGTTTGTCCTGATCACCTGCTCCATAGTCTGATTGGTGCGCTCGGTCTGGCCGTCTGTTTGCAGGTGGTATGTCGATGAGAACTGCAGCTTCGTGCCGTACTGTGCCCACGTCTCCTTCCAGAATTTCAACGTGAACTTCGGGTCCCTGTCGCTGATGATCGCTGCGGGGATTTCGTGCAGTCGCACGACGGATGAGATGAAGAGGCGCGTAGTTTCTTCGGCTGTGGTTGTTGTACGACACGGTGTGAAATGCACCATTTTCGTGAGGCAATCGACGACGATAAGAACAACGTCATTGCCAGACGGCACAGCAGTCAGCCCCGTGACGAAATCCATCGTCACCTGTTGCCACGGTCGTTCGGGTGGCTCGAGAGGTTGCAGCAATCCAGCTGGCCGCTGTCGTGTTAATTTCATGGCTTGGCACACCCTGCCTGAGGACACATATTGCTGCACGTCGTTAGCAGAATCGGGCCAATAATATTGACGGTGCAATAGCTTCTGGGTTTTATCAACCCCGAAAATGTCTGAAGAGGTTAGAGTCGTGGACCTCCTGAATTAGGAGTTTACGCAGCAGCCGGTAAGCGGGAACCCAAATCCGGTCAGTTTCGGCTTTTAGGTAATAATTCCCTTTCTGCGTCGTCGCCTGCTAGTGATTTCCAACTGTGAAGAATGGGTCCGTAGTGTAGCTGTGGGTGAAAAGTCTCGTGAGGAGCAAGTTCAAATGGGTGATGGGTACTGCAGCGGATTGAACTGTCGGTCTGGTCAGGGCATCAGCGATGTTATTCGCCCCTTTCTTGTACGTGAGGCGGTAGGTGAAGTGGCTCTCCATGTAATCCAGCCACCGAATTTCTCGCGGGTTGAGGGTGGGCTGAGCTCGCAGGTATTGTAGGGACTTGTGGTCCGTGCGAACAGTGATGTCGGCGCCCACCAAGTAGCAGCGCCACAGTTTGAATGCATGTATTATGGCGAGCATCTCCTTGTCATGTATCAGATCGTTGCGCTCGACTGACTGCAGTTTGCATGACTCGTAGGCGATCGGCTGCAGTCCGCTTTCCTGGAGAAGTACAGCTCCGATGGCAAAATCTGAGGCGTCGGTGACGGCTTCGAACAGCTTCGATGGGTCGGCGATGCGCAAAACGGAGGGGAAATGAGAAAGTTCTTCGACTCCTGAAAAACTTGTCAGAGGTCCACTGGTGATCCTCGATTGATCCTAAGGAAGGGTTACAGGCACGTTGGTCTGGGGGGTTATGGGCGCACTTACCTGCTACACAAACAAGCCCTTTTATCCCAATGGTCTAGTGGTTGGGATTCTGACATGTTATCAGAGTGATCACGGTCCTTGCCTGTGGACCCGCCCTTTTGCTTCCGCTACTACTCTGTGTTCGGCACGCCCCGTGGCGTGCCCCTTAACCTTCTCTTAGCGGCCCCGTTGCCGCCCTTTCAGGCCCCTCGCGGCCCCTTCGCGGCCCTGTCGCTGCCCTTCCGCGGCCCCGTCGCCGCCCTTTCAGCGGCCCCGTCGTCGCCCGCCCTTCAGCAGGCCCCGTCGGCCGCCCTTTCAGCGGCCCCGTCGCCACCCTTTTAGTGGCCCCGTCGTCACCCGCCCTTCTGCAGGCCCTGTCGCCGCCCTTTCAGCGGCCCCGTCATCGCCCGCCCTTCAGCAGGCCCTGTCGCCGCCCTTTCAGCGGCCCCGTCGTCGCCCGCCCTTCAGCAGGCCCGTCGCCCACCCTTTCAGCGGCCCCGTTGCCACCCTTCTGCGGCCTAGTCGCCGCCTCCATCGGCCCCGTCGCCGCCGCCAGCGGCCCCGTCGCCGCCACTTGCGGCCCCGACCCCGCCCCGGCCATGCCCCGTCGCCAGCCGCGGCACACCGGGGGCACGTGCACCCCCCCCCCCCCCCCCCCCCCCCCCCTTTTCCCGTCACCCGTCGAGGCGACCTGAGGGGGGGGGCAAGCGTCGCCCCCTCTGCCGCCTGCTTTGGCGCCCGGGGAGGCCGTGCGTCGGCCCCCCCCCCCTTCCCCCCCCCCCCCCCTCCCCCCTTCCCCCTTCTCCTTCGTCTACCTGCACCTGCAAGGGGGAGGGTCTGGGGGTGGCGGGTGTGGGGGTGATGGGTGGTGTGCTTCCCTTCCCCTCCTCCTCCTTTCGTTCCCACTGCTGCAGCTGCTGCTGGGGGGGAGGGTGTGAGGGTGTGGGGGAGCCGGGGGAGTGGCACTGGGGTGGCGGGTGTGAGACCAACCAGCAGCCGTCCCTCCACCTCTCCACTCTTCCCCCCTCTGCTGCTCCTGCAGCAGTGTGGGGGGGAGGGGGATGGGGATGTCAGAAACAGCAGTAGAAAGTAAGAACGAAGAAAGAGAGGATGGTCACTAGCAAGTAGTTGGATACAAATAGCAAACCCTAACTGGGTTGTACTCGCTATGGAGCACCCCACTGCAGGCTAGAGAACATAACATTCTGACACACCCCTATAGCCAAAGTGGGGTGCAATCAGCAGAGCAAGCAAAGCAGAACAGGCTCAGGGTGGATCACAATGTCACCACACATTCTGAGCACAAGTACAAGAAGCAATAGTTTAAAGTTCACAATTATGAGCTAAACTAGAGGTAATCACAGAGGGCAAGTGAGGAGGAGGAGGGACTGTGCGAGGATAGAAGATGGGAGACGACGGCTGAAGTTGCAGTCACACGGGCAACAGGAGCGGCTGGCTCAGTGGCTACCGGGACAGCGCCCTGGACTACTGGAGTAACTGGCTCACGGGCTACGACGAGCTACAGGAGCAACGGACCCACGGGCGACAGGCGCAACAGGCTCTCTGGGCTACCAGGACAGCGCCCCGGACTACAGGTGCTGCGGACGACAAGACGGCAGCCTCCACTCAACCTCCCCAAACAGTCCTACACCCCTTGACACACACCCCCTGCTTCACCCCTAGCTCCACTCCAACATCACCCCCCTTAAACCCGAAACCCTCGGCTCCCACACACCCACTCCCCTCAGCGGCAGCTGCAGCAGTGGGAGACGGAGGAGGAGGAGGAGTAGGGGACGGCGCACACAACAGGCACCCCCACAACCGCCACCCCCACACTCCTCAGCCCAAAACCCTAAAACGGGTTGCAGGGGGCAGGAGCGTGGGGGGGCAGCGGGGGGGACAGTGCGCGGCCCCCAGGTCTCCACCACGGGGCAGAAGGGGGGGGGGGGAGAGGGGGGGGGGGGGGGGGGGGGGGGCGCTCCTCCTTAGGACGCCGAAACGGACGGGCGAAGGGGGGCGTGCGCGGTTCCCCAGGGCGCCGCGACGGACGGGCGGGGGGCGTGCGCGGCTCCCCAGGCCGCCGCAACAGACAGGTGGGGGCCGCGCGCGAATCCTCAGGGCGCCGCGACGGACGGGCGGGAGGCGCACGCAACTCCCCAGGGCGCTGCGACGGACGGGAGAAGGGCGCGCGCGGCCTGCAGGTCGACGCGACGAGACGGGCGGGGGCTGTGCGCGGGTCCCCACAGCAGGAAACCACCGCGCGCCTGGGGGCGCACGGCGGGCAGAAACTCGCCGCGCGACCCGAGCGCACGGCGGGATGAAAAAGCCTTAAATTTTTTCGCCGCGCGGAGAAGAGGGCGCGCGCCCGAGGCACACGAGAAGCAGAACAGCAACGGAAGCAGTTAGGTGGTGGGCCCACCTAGAGGATCGACCCAAAGGGGTCGACCTGCTCTGATAGCATGTCAGAAACAGCAGTAGAAAGTAAGAATGAAGAAAGAGAGGATGGTCACTAGCAAGCAGTTGGATACAAATAGCAAACCCTAACTGGGTTGTACTCGCTATGGAGCACCCCACTGCAGGCTAGAGAACATAATATTCTGACAGGGGAGGGTGAGGGGATGAAGTGGGTGACCAGCCAGCCCCAGCCCGCCTCCTCTCTCTCCCTGCCGCCCCTCTTGTGGTCGGGGGGGGAGGAGAGTAAAGGGGTGGCAGGAGTGCTTGCCCCCCCCCCCCCCCCCCCCCCGTTTTGCTGCTGTACGTGCTTTGTAACCTTGCCTGTTGCCTGCTGTTGCTGTTTTCTCAGTTTGTGGTGTACCCATTCAGGTTGTGTCACTGCACAGACTCTTGCTTCTAGCAGTTATGGGGGAGAGTTAGAATATATCTGTAACTGTCTGTAGTTGTAGTTAGTGTAGTTATTATAATTTTTGTTAGGTGGTGCACCTTCTTTGTTCATTTGCTATATGTTCTTGCAAACCTATAGTTAAGCGCCTCATTCTCCTTCTCAAACTTGCTCGATACTTTCCTTAAACTCGATCTTCTCCTACCTCTCTAGCCATGGCTCCTAAGCCTCGCTAGAATCTTGACTTGGTATCAGAGCGAAGGTCTCGGGTTCGAATCCCGGTGTGTGCACTTCGGGCATCCCAGTGCGGGGGGGTGTCAGAGGTCCACTGGTGATCCCCGATTGATCCTAGGGAAGGGTTACAGGCACGTTGGTCTGGGGGGTTATGGGCGCACTTACCTGCTACACAAACAAGCCATTTTATCCCAATGGACTAGTGGCTGGGATTCTGACAAAGCTTCCCCCCCCTCACACAAAATTCCTGTCCTTGTGCAGCAGGTCGGTCAGCGGGCCGGCTATCCCTGCCATATTAGGGATAAACCGCCGGACGTAATTCACGAAGCCCAGAAAACTCTGAAGTTCCGTGATGCTGGTCGGAGACTTCCACTCTTGAATAGTCCTGATTTTCGCCGGGTCGATTTTGATGCCATCACGGGAGATGACGTGCCCCAAAACCTTAGACTCCTGCTTAAAAAAAAAAAAAAAAAAAAAAACACACACACACACACACACACACACACACACACACACACACACACACACACACACACACACACTTAGACCCTTTAATGATGAGGCGGTTCTCCTGCACCGTTTAAACATTACGTTGAGGTCTCGGAGGTATTGTTCCCTTGTCCTGCTAAAAATCATAATATCGTCCAAATAGACGATAACTCACTTGTCGAGAAGATCCCAAATTTGCCAAAATTTGGTCTGCTGAAAAGTTGAAGGCGTGTTTAGGGCGTGTAAAATCCTCGCAAATTTGCAAAATCTGCTTTTGGCTGGTTTTACGTAAGTTTTTCGCGAAAGTTGACGGATTGGTCGACTTTGTGTCGTCACATTTACAGCCACTATTTGCAGATTTGCAAACTTTACAGGCTTGAGGGCCGAATTTCAGGCCGGTTTCAAAGAGTTGTAAAATTTGCAGTTGCTACAGTAAGAACGTATGTGCTGTGAGGAAACGAGGAAATCAAGAAGAGAGGGGTTCACTAGCAAGCAGTTGAGTACATATAGCAAACCCTAAATTGGGCTGTACTCACTATTGAGTACCCTACTGCTGGCTAGATAAACATAACATTCTGACACACCCCCATAGCCAAAGTGGGGTGTAATCAGCACAACAAGCAGAGCAGAACAAGCACAGGGTGGATCACAATGTCACCACACATTCTGAGCACAAGTACAAGAAGCAACAGTTTAAAGTTCACAAATGTAAGCAAAGCTAGAGGCTATCGCAGAGGGCAAATATGGAGGAGGGACTATGAGAGGAGAGGAGGTACTGGGCGGCAGCTGAAGCTGCTGGCACACTGCGCAACTGGAGCAACTGGCACACGGGCAACTAGAGCAACTAACACACTAGCATATGGCGCAACGGTCTCACGGGCGACTGGAGCTGCGGGCTTCACAGCGGCCACCCCCTTCAACCTCCCCAAACTATCCCACCCCCATTTCACACACCCCCTACTGCACCCCTAGGTTCACTCACACCCCACCCCCTAGCACCACTCCGTCGACTCCCACATACCCACCCCCCTCAGCGGCAGCTGCAGCAGTGGGAGACAGAGGAGGAGGAGCAGGGGAGACCACACACCCACCACCCCCTACTCGCCACCCCCAAACCCTAACACAGGGCGGGGCGGGATGGCGGGTAGGGAGGTTGGGGGGGGGGGGGGGGGAAGCGGGGGGGGGGGGGGGGACGACGCGCGGCCTCCCAGGGCGCCAAAGCAGGCAGCAGAAGGGGCGACGCTCGCCCCCCCCCCCCCCCCAGGTCGCGCGACCCCCTTAGGAGCTGCGACGGGCGACGGGAAAACGGGGGGGGGGGGGGGGGGGGGCGGTGCACGTGCCCACGGTGCGCCGCGGCTGGCGATGGGGCATGGCCGAGGCGGGGCCGGGGCCGCAATTGGCGGCGACGGGGCCGCTGGAGGCGGCGACGGGGCCGCTAGAGGCAACGACGGGGCCGTTGGCGGCGGCGACGGGGCCACTAGGGTCGGCGACAGGGCCACTGGCGGCGGCAACGGGGCCGATAGGAGCGGCAACGGGGCCGCTAGGGTCGGCGACGGGGCTGCTGGCGGCGTCGACGGGGCTGATAGGGGCGGCGACGGAGCCGCGAAGGGGCCGCGAGGGGCCTGGAAGGGCGGCGACGGGCCGCGAAAGGGGCGGCGACGGGGCCGTGAAGGGGCCGCGAGGGGCCTGGAAGGGCGACAACGGGGCCGCGAAGGGGCCGCGAGGGGCCTGGAAGGGCGGCAATGGGGCCGCTAAGAGTAGCGCGAGGGGCACGCCACGGGGCGTGCCGAACACAGAGTAGCAGTGGAAGCAGTTGAGTGGGCCCACAAGCCAGGACCGTAGATGCTCTGATAGCATGTCAGAATCCCAACCATTAGACCATTGGGATAAAAGGGCTTGTTAAGTAGCGGGTCAGTGCGCCCATAACCCCCCAGGACAACGAGCCTGTAACCCTTCCCTAGGATCGATCGGGGATCACCAGTAGACCTCTGACACCCCCCCACACTGGGATGCCCAAAGTGCATACACTAGGATTCGAACCCAAGACCTTGGCTCTGATATCATGTGAAGAAATGAGGAAATCAAGAAGAGAGGGGTTCACTAGCAAGCAGTTGAGTACATATAGCAAACCCTAAATTGGGCTGTACTCACTATTGAGTACCCCACTTCAGGCTAGATAAACATAACATTCTGACATGTGCGACGGGGCCGCACATTTGACAGTGAAAACTATGATTGGACAGGATAAAATTTCAGTCGTTCTGCGATACCGTGCGACGTCCTATGTGACAATCACTCACGGTATTGACTACTTGAGCGAATTGGAGTCGACATGGTGTCGAATACGAGTCGACTTTCAAAACGACCATCAATTTCGTTTTTTATTGGCGAAATTAACGACGGTCGCGAGCGTCCTCGAAGTTTTCTCAAACGTGTTACTTTCGCCAATTCGACCACTAGGCTAGTGGCCGAATTTTTAGGTGCGGTGATTCTACACACCCTTATGAGGCCAAACGGCATCACAGTGTACTCATAGCTTACATAGCCAATGCGAAACACGGTCTTGTGTCAGTCGTCGGCGAAGACCCGAATCTGGAGGTAACTGCCACGCAAGTCGATTTTCGAAATGTAGGGAGCGCCGTGAAGTTGGTCGAGAAGGTCGTCGGTGCATGGGATTGGGTAACAAGACTTGATTGTCACCCGGTTGAGTGCGCGATAGTCGATGCACATGCTGTTAGAGACTAAGGACCGAGTCTAGAACATTTAGGGGCCGAAATATTTCAAAGTCGTTGGTCTCAAATTATGGATAGAAAAATCGTGCTCACAAGAAACGCCGTCGACGAAAAATGCACTGTTAAAAATTCACCAATTTTCGTTATGATGTATCTCTAGAGCGTAGCTACAATTCCCAAGTTGAATCGTATCAAGAGGTGAAGTATATCTTGACTTATCAATTTCGGCGCATAGAGGGGTATGCTGCCATAGAAACTTAACTCAATCACAATTAGCTCACAAGTTTACACAAGAAAGTTAGAGTAGCTAGAAACCAGGTAGAAGGGGAAGAGGAGGACGAGAGGTCCCCAAGGAGTCTCCAAACAGGGAAACCTCATAAGCACATCAAATCCCCTCCTACTTTTACTTCTGTCACTTTCCCAACCTCCATAATCCACGTCACCCAAGTTGGCCACACTTGCCAACCTGGTTTGGTTTGGCACCATCTACAGTGATGGGGACGAATTTCCCAACCCCCAAAAGTCTATACCCCTTATGGAGTCAACCCCACAACTTCCCATAGTCACCACAGCCAAATATCAAAAGCATAAAAACTTCAAATGTTCGTTACTTTCTTGTTCGTGCTCCGATTGAAGCGATACTTGGCTTGACGGAAAGCTCTTAAGCAGCGGAGTCACTTCAGATATCTGCTCAAGCCAAATACCATTCACACACATTCAGAAAAACCAAACCACACAAACAAAAATTATTGCACACGCTCACACCACGCATGCAACACATGAACATATGATGGGAGGCAGACAGACGTGAATGCATATGATTGCATTACATAACACATGCGAAGCCCACCGTCTTTCTTCGGCATGAACAGTATCAGGGCCGCGAAGGGAGATGTACTGGGTCTGATGAACCCCTTCTCCAACAGTGCATCTATTTGTCTTCGCAGCTCCTTGAGTTTTGTCTGAGTCAACCGCCACTGTGTACGAACAGTCGGCTGCGCGCCGGGCTCCGGTTGGATCTTGTGGTCCTCAGGTCTCTCGAGTGGTAGTCCAGGTGGTAGATCGTTGGGGAAGATGTCCGGGTACTGTCAAATCAGCTCTGCTAAATCAGGTGGTACAGCTGCGCACATCTTCTCGATGTCTTTTCCGTCGGTGTCGGTGACGAGAGTAGAACGAGAATGGATGAACTATGAATGGAAGTGATACAAATATGCAACCCTAGAAATGTGTACCCTATATAGGCTACCCCACTATAGCCTACACAATATTATAATTTGACACACCCCCATAGGCTAAGTGGGGGAGAACAAGGGGTCACAAGACCAGTCAAGCAAAGCAAAGCAAAGCTCAGGGTGGATCACAACGTCACCACACAGTCCAAGCACAAGGTCAAGGCCAATTCACATGCAGGAGTGCACACACACACACATATATATGTATATATATATGGCTAAACAAGCAAGAGCAGGTATATATATATGTAAGAGTACAAGCAAGATCAAGAGGTGAGCAAGTGAGGCAAGACAGGCACAAGACCCAGCTCAGTGCAGAAGCGCTGATGATCACAAGGTGGAAGTGCCTTGGTGAAAACATCAACAGTGTTGGCCTCAGAGGCCACGTACGCAAGTCGCAACTGACCACGCTGCTGCAGCTCACGAGCAAGAAAGTAGCGGAGAGCAATGTGCTTCGTTCTGTGCTCCAAGCGTTGCTCCCGACACAAGGCCAGCATGGCCTTGTTGTCCACGTACAGCACCGGAGGAGAACGAGGCGGCTCTCCGAGGTCAGTCAGCAGGTAGGTGAGCCAGCGAAGCTCCTGTGCAGCCATGGCCCCAGCGTAGATCTCAACCTTACAACTGGAGCCGAGAACAGAAGACGAGCGAGTAGCCCGCCACAAAACAGAGCCGGAACCAAGGCTGAAGGTGTAACCCTGTGACGACCGCTGCGTAGCGTGGTCGTTAGCTCAAGAAGCGTCCGCGTGCCCAGTGAGGACCACTGAACTCCGCCCTCCAAGCACTAGCCCCATGCCCGATGTACTGCACAAGTAGCGCAACACCCTCTTCGCTGCAGCCATGTGCTCTGGTCGGTGTCTCCTAGGAGCAACATAGCGTGCAAGAATGCTAAGAGGGTATGCAAGGTCAGGTCGTGTGAAGGTCATCAGGTACATGAGGCAGCCAACAAGCTCTGGGTACGGGCCACTCGACTCTACGGACTCATCCGAAGGCAGAGCTGAGAGCGAGTGGCGAGTAGACAGAGGAGTGGCCTAAGGCGAGGAGTACGTGAAGCCGAAGCGCTGAAGGACCTGCTGCACCATGTGTGACTGAGTCAGGGTAATGGTGCGGCGTGCTCTGTCCCGGGTGATCTGCAAGCCAAGGTAGCTGCGCAGTTTACCCAGGTCTGTGCACGTGTGTCTCTTCTGCAGCTCGGACTTCACGTAGGCGAGTCCAGCAGTGTCAGCTGTGGCAAAGACCAAGTCGTCGACGTACACGAGGATGTAGAGCGGCGGCAGAGAGGTGTCGGTGCGTAGAAACAGCGACGGGTCAGCAGTAGAGGGAGCAAACCCAAGAGCCGCAAGCGTAGTCCTCAGTGTGTCGTGCCACTCGCGCGGTGCCTGGCGGAGACCGTAGACTGGCCGTCGGAGGCTCCACTGGGTGCCAGGAGGGAAAGTCCCAGTGAAGCCAGGTGGACGGCGCAGCCAGATCTCCTCTTGCAGGCTACCCTGCAAGAAAGCAGTGCTGAAGTCAAGGGAGTGAAGTTCGTAGTCACGCTGAGCGGCTATGTGTAACATCACCCGAAGAGTGGTCATCTTCGGGGTGGGAGAGAAGGTCTGAAAGTAGTCAACTCCCTGCCGCAAATTGAAGCCACGAGCCACGTAACGCGCCTTGAAGACAGGTGGAGAGCCCGGCGGCCGCTTCACCCTGAAGATCCACATGCCAGTGACGATGTTCGCCCCAGGAGGGGGAACCGCGTCAACGTAGGTGCCTGTGGACTTCCAGGAAGCCATCTCTGCATCCATAGGTGCTTGTCACTGAGAGGAGTAGGGACCCTCTACGGCCTCCTCGTAAGAGCGCGGAGTCGGGATGTCTAGTGCATCCGGGTCTCCCTCAGGGGTAAGCAGTACGGACACGAGATGTGGTGAAGCAGCAGCCAAAGACTAGAACTCCTCCTGCTTGTCCTCAAGGACGTCCGTGCCAATAGCACACTCACCCCCGACGGACGGAGGACAGACAGACGCAGACTCAGCAACGAGACTAGCAGCGTAGTCTAGACGACAGCGAGCAGCGAAGTCCACGAGCTCAGCAACAAGAGCAGACGCAGCAGTGGACTCAAAGGAGGGGTCAGTGACGACAATAGCAAGGAGACGCATGACAGTAGGACTGGCAGCACGAAGAGAGTCCGACTCCGGGTCGGCAAGCGCAGGAAGAGAGGACTCAGGAGGAGAGGGCAAAGGGGCACGCAGAGGTGCAGTGGACGGACGCAGAGACATCCGGTGCGTGCCAGGGACAGGAGGAGGACGCTGACGCGAACCGCGACCACTAGCTCGAGCAGTACGAACAGGCAACGCAGGACGAGACGCAGGCTCACGACGCTCAGCAAGACCTCCAGTAGGACCAGTGTAGGGAGAAGGAGCTGGCAGTGGGGAAGCCGGCGGTAACTAGGAGTGGGACCGGACAGGCGGTGGACACTCTAAGGGAGGAGGAAGACCAAGAACCTGCTGAAGGAGCGGAGCAAAGTACGGCGGAGGCCGCGCGGCGACTCCAGACACAGCAGGGACAGCACCAGCACCCCCAGCGGCAGCACCAGCGCCAACCGCACCTCTAGCTCCAATACCTCCAGCATCACCAGCAGCAGGACCGCCGCCAGGACCGACAGTAGTAGCCTCAGCGCCAACACCCTCAGCAGCTCCGACCCCAGTAGCACTCGCAGGTCCAGCAGCTCCAGTACTCCCAGGACTAGCACCTCCGAGACTGGCGGCACCAGCACCCTCAGCAGCCGAAGAAGCACCAGCTCCAGCAGTACGCCTCCAGCGTCGCGCAAACCACTCGCGCAGCTCCTGTGGAGAGAGTGGCTCCCGCTGAGACGAAGCACCCAGAGAACCACCAGGCCCAGCACCGCCAGACGCCACACGAGCACGTCCAGCGGCAGCAGGCTCCGCACCCCTAGGCTCAGCAGCTCCAGACTCAGCACCCCCAGGCAGAGGACTCCCAGGCTCAGCACCCCCAGTTGTAGCACCCCCAGGCTCAGCACCCCCAGTCGCAGCACCCCCAGGCTCAGCACCCCCAGTCTCAGCACCCCCAGGCTCAGCACCCCCAGGCTCAGCACCCCCACGCGAAGCACCCCCAGGCTCAGCACCCCCAGAGTCAGCACCCCCACGCTCAGCACCCGCAGCAGTACCAGAGACACCAGCAACCTCGACCGGCTTGACTGCGTCTACCTGGGACACACCTGAAGGGGCAGGACCTTAAGGGGGGAGGGGGTCTACCTGGGGGGGACCTGGCACAAGGAAGTGCGACGGCTGGGGGAGGGAAGGAGTGTGGTAGGGGAAGAGACGGTAGTAGGGGTCTGACTCGTCGAACGTGACGTCCTGGGAGGACAGAACACGAC